GATGAGAGAGGCCGACTACTGTGTACGCGACGAGTAGTATAGTAGGTCCTAGTCTGTATAATAATACAACACAGTATATTACTACTACTATATATATATATATATATATATATATATATGACAAGTAACTTAAAATCTTTTCTAAATGTCCATGTTTATTTCTCTAATGTTCATGGTCTTACAGAATCAGACTCAAGCTCCCCAATCCTCACCAAGGAAGACCAAGAGAACATTCAAACAGCAGCTCTAGATACATGGATCAGGCCATTCTTATCAACAGAGTTTGGCAATTAGAAGGAAAAGCAAAAGGAAAAGAAAAATGATCTGGATTCTTAAACCAGTCGCTCTCATTATCTCAAGCAATGGAGCAATCCCAACCCAAGAGGGCACTACAAAGAAAAGAGCTAAAGAGATTATAGTAATTATTCATATATGCAAAAATGTATATAATATGATGCTAGATTGCAGCATGTAAGATGCATCGGCAAGCATGATGAGAGATTAAAATACATAAGTTTCTAATTTTAAAACTTCAATTGTAGATTTGTGTGAAGAACGAGTCTTATTTTTGCAGTCTATTAGAAGGAAAATCGATCTAAATAGTAGCCCTAGTTTGCGAGGATGTTATCTATTAGGACTCTGTATTTTTTATCTGTTAGGACTCCAATTAAGACCTAGTTTATTAGGATGCTATGATCCATAGTTATTAGGACTACGAGGTATTTGTTTGAGGACGTTGAGTGTGTGCGGTAGAACACATGTACTCACCACGATTTATAATATAGAACAGATTACATACATGCGCGTCTGTTGGTAGAACCGGTGACACAAAGATACTTGGGAGCATGGCTACCATATCCATATCCTATGCATCCAAAACATACACAAAGTTACTAAAAATGAATGGACTAGACACACATATCCATAGTTACTAAAAATGAATGAAACATAAATCAGTTATAAAAAAATATGTATTCCGACCACCAGAAAAAACCTAGGATCGGCACGTATCCACTTTTGAACCCTCATGATAAGGTAGGAAAATGCCGATAAGATAACAATTATGCCCCATGCAGCTATAGATCTAGAATAATTCACAACCAACTAACAACACAGAGCATATGCAAGGCCTGAATGTATTATTATCAAATAAAGTAGGATTAGAAAGCATCCACCAAATAAGGAGGTGACCACAAGAAAATATAGAAATGTTCACCTTATGAAAAAGAGAATAGATGATTCTTCTAGATTGGAATCTTGGAATATTTAGAAGCCTAGTGAATACCATTCCTTGTTGCAGTCTGGCAACTTTTATCCCATGAGGCAATTGAGTACTGTCCACCACTTGATTTCATAATGTTCATTCAACATACAAGCGACCGCTTTGATCCCATGGTGTGAGGGCATCTAAAGGGCAATCCCGTCCTCGACATCTTTATGACAAGGGAATAACCACAACGGAGATCATAAATGCAGCTAATTCCACTACCTCAATTAGGTAAAGTCAAACCAAGCATATACTGCATGTTTAAGCAATCACATATGCAACATGTTGCTGGTCCCTTCTTAAAACCAAATCATAAGGACTGAATTGATTACCGTTTCTTGAAACTCCCTATGAAGAAACACAATTCATGACTTCGTGCTGAAAAATTCTATCTTTCAGTGACAATTATAGAGAGTATAAGACGCAAGACATTAACATCGGTATCTATGTTACAGGACTCACCCAAGTCCATTCAAGCTCGGGGCGAGGCTGAGTTACCCCGAGTTGAGAGTACAACTCAGGGTACATAAATTTTTTCCCCAAAAAAATTGTAAAATATATGGATATGTTGTCTAAATTTTTGTATATGATTTGGATTTTTTTGGCATAGATTATTGGTATGTGTTCTTTTTCCATAATCCCTATTTTTATATTTTCTTTTTTTTGGATTTTTTTTAAATGTCCCCAGCTATTAATAATTTTTTTTAAAATTCATTTTTCCTATTTTTTAAGCATATTTAGATATTTAAAGGTTGCTTTTGGTTTTATTTTACTTTAAAAATAAACTGTTTAGATAACTCGTTACAAGATGTACTATGTTTAGGACTTGAAATTCTTTTTTTTTTTTTCATATCCATACATTGAGATATAGATGATTGGTTTTCCAATGTCGGAAACATTCTTCTCTAGAGAATTTTTGAGGTTCACCTTACTTCTTTTTTTTTCGCTTTTCTTGTATGCTGTTAACTTCAATAATATAAGGTTGAAACCTTATATAAACATTTCTTTTACTTTAAATAATACCTTTATTTTATTTCATATTTTTTACTCTTTTTTTAAAAAAAAAAATTATTGGGCTTTTTGGCCCTGTACAAGACTAGGCTGAGTACCTTTGGACTCACTGAGTAACTCACCTCGGCAAAAGGCTGGGGCAATCTTCAAACACTAATGGGTATTAACAAATGGAGCACACTTTTTGACATGGATTACAAGATATTCTCATGTATAGACTCTAGGGAAATGTTTCTATACTTCCTCTACAGCATAGAAGTTCTATGCTGCCCCTACCATCCAGCTGTCCAATTTTAATCAAGAGAGCTACTCACCGTTTGATCTTAGATCCGACGTCTCAAAGTACTTTATTTGTGAGTTGTTTTATACAAATTGTATGAATATGAAATTTGTTACGTGTCATCTTCTCATTAGGGCGCACCTATAAAAAATATTTAAAAATAATTTTTCGATAAAATATAATGACCAAAATACCCCTTAAAACTTTTAAAAGTATTTTGGTCACTTTATTTTATTGTAATTTTTTTATATATATATATATTTTTTGGTAGTGATAGTTTAATAGAAGATTGGACGTATCAAATTTGGTGGCAAAATAGTTTATAAAAATAAAATAAAAAATACAATAGTGTAGAGACTTGACATTGTGATTGGGGCCGTCATGCTTGTAGTCTCTAATATTTTAACTTACAAATCCAATTGACCCCAACAAATGTGTTTCCTAAGGAGCTTGGAAAAGAGCCCCGGCTTAATTGATCAGCGCTTCGACGATTTGCAATGGTAGGCTCAATCCGCAAGGAAGGGGTCCTCTCCCCACTGACTAACCCAAAAAAAATATATATATATATATATAAAAAAGAGGGTTTTTTTGACTTAATCATTAAATGTTCGAGAAAAGGAAGGCCATGAAATTGATCAACAGAAGTTACGTAACCATTAATCAGAAATGATCTTCCTTAAAGATGGAAAGGGAGAGAAATTCAAAGACAGTAATCCATATTCCTATGAAACAACCGAGACAGCAGGAAACAAGAGCAAAATTTTGTTGATATGAACTATTAGCACTCTTAATATTTTTTAGGTGGCAAGATATCATCTGAAACTACATAAATTTAAAGCTAATTCTGCCCCTTTGATTATTAAAGAAAAAAGCCACAATCAACAAAGATTACAGAAAGGAATCAATCAATTGGTGAAAGAGAGAGAGATTCGCGGCATCGACAATCAAATAACACAAACACGGGGTTGCAAAGGTAATTTGTAGAGGAGGGAGAAGCAATTGCGGAATCAGCAATCAATGGAAAACGCAACCTTTAGAGAGAGAAATTGGGAGAGAGAGAGAGAAAGTAGTGAGAGAGAGTACCTGCTGCATTGTTGGCAGAACCGCTGGGCAGCGCCTCCAATCAGGACCACAGAGGCCTTAGCGTGCTCCTCACAAACCCTATAACGCCTGTGATACCTCCTCGCCATGCTCAAATCAACCCCACACTTGTCAGCCCTACAAAACAGCGCCTGAGCATCCGCCCCTTTTCTGTATCTTTTTCTTCTAACCCCACTGTAACCCCTTCTCTCTCTCTCCTCGCGTTCGCTCTCTTCGCCCTCTCTCTCCTCAATTTCTCTCCCTTCACCCTCTCTCACCTCACTTTCTCTCTCCTCCTCTTCACCTTCCTCTCCTTTCTCTTCTTTATCTGCTTGCTCCAGTGCTCGCTTTGCCATGGCTTCAGCCCTTAGGTTCTGAGGAGAGAGAAAGAAGGGGAGAAGAGATGAGAAATTAGGGCTAGGATTTGACGTGGGAGACCAGTCATTGGAGAAGTAGGGAAATAAACATCACTGTCTCAGTTATACGAATTCAAACTAGGGTTTATCTCCTAGCCACGTAGAGACAGGGAGAGGAACGTTCTTGCTGTGTCTTCAAAAACAAAACGTTCAGTCCCTTCGTCTTGCCCTCACTCGCCATCGCCATTGTTGCACTCTCTCTGTCTCTGATTTTCTCTCTCTACGATTTGCTCTCTCACCAGACACATCTACTAATCAGTGATTGATCAGTGATTAGTAACTGGGATCATATGTATCCTGTACAATTAGCACCTGGTACCTCACATGATAGTACGAGTGTTATTTTGTGTGTCCTTTCTGGTACCTTTTCAAGCAAATTTTTGTATAAAGTCGAGGCTTTAAAGGATTAAATTAAGTGCATCTAAAAAATTCACTAGAAAAGGCAGTCAAAAAACCCACAAATTGATCATCTCCACCTTCAGATTTATTGATGCGAAATAAATGGATTTCAAATATAATAAATAATGATATTGTAATGTATTATCCAGGTTGTTAATTTTCAATATTTCTAAGTATTTATAAGGCTATTCGATCTATACTATTTTTAAAATTTTAAATATTATTATAATTAACCATATAAATAAATTTCCAAACCATCACAAAAACCTTTAGTAAGGGTCCAAGCTCTAAATAATCATAATAAGGAGCACCTTTATATAATACCAAAAGGCCAGTATAAAGTTTCACACATTGAAGCGTTCTCACTTAACACTAATTTTTCTACTGAACCTAGTTCGATGTTCAGTCAGTACTGCTATCTATGCAACTACTATGGGTCGTCCAATATTTTAAATACCAGATTGCTCTATGTTAACATTGTTTTTTTTGTAGAGAAGCCGCCCTATTTTTAGCAAATTAGTGTAAAGCCACGACACTTAACTTTCATGGGTGTGATGTTTTAGATACGGGAAAAGTTTATATAAGGTTGCAACCTTAAAATGTAGAATTACGGACGCACCTCAAAAATCTATCGAAAAAGTTGTTTTAGTGTTGGAAAGCCCTCTAATTGATCATCTCGACATCGAGATATATGAATATTAAAAAAAAATATATTTTTGAGTCCTAGAAATAGTGCATCTTGCAACACATTATCTAGACCATCCATTTTCTAGAGTTTCATATGTTTATAGATCTAGTTGATTTTAACTAGTTTGGGAGTTTAAAATTTTCTAATTAGATATGAAAATAGATTTTAACATAATCCTAAGAATTTTTTACAGCAAAATTACACGTTATGATAAAATTTGGAGATGCGCCTTAATTGGATTTGTTTAAAGTTGCAACCTTATAGAAACCGCACCCTTTAACTCTTCTTGTAGAGAAATTGGTCAGATCGTCTTCTATAAAGCCACGACGCATGACCTTGTGTGGAGAAGCCGGTTTGATGTTCTGGCCTCCTGTAAAGCCACAATAAGTAAATGTGGTGAGTCTGATATTTTAAAGATCAATTCGATACTTTAAACATCAGATCGCTTTTTGTAAAGCCATGACATGTAACTGTCTGATATTGTGCAGAGCTGATAATATTCCGATACTTGAAACGTCAAACCACCTTGTTATCTATCAAGGCACAATATTCTAATGCCTTAGCGGGTCTGATTCAAGGCAAAAACTGGATTTAATCGAAAACTACTCAAAACCAATGTTTGACCAATTTTGGATAGTTAGGCTGACCAATTTTAAGTAATTCGACTAATTAAATGAAGTTGGACAATTTTGTTTAAGGGTGCGGTTTGTATAGAACCGAGACTCTAAACAATCAAAGTAAAGCACACCTTTAAATAGTATCGAGAAATGTAGTTTCAATATTGAAAATCTTTGTGATAGTCTTAAACTATATTTTCATCTCTAATTATAAAATTTCAAGCTTAAAAAATTGTGCAAATCGAACAGATCTATGAAAACTTGAAAATCTTGATAATTGATAGTCTAAAAATGCATCACAAGATGCACTATTTCTAAAACTTGAAATCCATTTTTTCCTCCTGTCTATGGATCGTGATGTCAAGAAGATAAATTTAGGACATTTGGGGATCAAAACAGTCTCTGCTAGTGAAATTTTTGAAGCACACTCTAATTTGATTGTTTAGACCTTCACACGTATATACCTTTTTTAAAAAAATACATCTTATATTTTTAAACAAGTCCATATTTTTCTTTTTTTCTCTTTAATTTTTTTTTTTATTATCTAAAATCTAGTCCAATTGATTCAACTAGTAGCTAACCTGATTTTTACTGGACCAAATCCTTCACCGTCTCGATTATTGGTTGATCCTGATAACATTGCTTGAAACCCATAATTACCGGTCTTATTAGTACTTGAAAATGAACTATCCAAATAATATGTTGTAAGATACGATACTTTTATGCTTCAATAATCTTTTTTTTTATCCATGATGGTCGAGGACTGGATCATCAATTACAAGGTTTTTCTAATGCCAAGATGAACCTTTCCTGTCAAGATTTAAGGTGCAGTTTTGGTGGGCTTTTCATCTTTAGTTGTCTTTTCTATCATTTTAAAATTTTCTAATGAATTCTTTCTATGATATTTGGATTAACGTTTTAGTATATGTTTCTTCCACTTGTAGGTTGGTGTCGAAGTATGTGATGAGATAAGCTTTTAGGTCTATAAAAATTTTATGTATATATTGTTGTAAATTATCCAATATTCATTTGGTTCCATTGTTTATGGCTTTATTACTTTTCAATGGATGGGGCTATTTGTTTATATGTTTTGGTATTTATTAAGGGATTGTATACAATGAGATCATTTATCATTGATACAAGGACACAATTACTTACAACCGTTCAATATGAAATTTGATAGCTTGGAAGGGCCACAAAGTTCGAGACAATTTCTTTCAAAATTTGAGCTTGGTCAATAGAATAAATGCAGCCATCTAATTTCACATCCAATGGTTAAAAACAATTGTGACCACCTTGTACTAAAGATAAATGATCTCATTATATGATTTTCATTTTGTTAATATGTTCAAGCATTTTTTTCTTTTCATTTATAATGTGGATCAAAAGGGGGACTAACTTGCGTTATAGGGCTAATATCTTCTATGATGGTCCTAGAAAGAGTTTCTATAGATTTTTCCCAAATATTTTATAAATATTGTATCCATTTATATTTTGATTTATTCACATTTTTATTTTTATTGCGAGTTGTACAAAATCCTTTAATTTCATTATCTATTGCAATTTTATGAGATATTTCATTATTTTATTTTAGGGGTAATTATGATGGATGAATATGTACTTTTTTGGTTGTGACCTTTTTGTTCTAACGTAGATTGATGATATTTTTGTTTTGTAAAAAGTTATTTATATTGGTATTTGATAAATTGAATCTTTAGGCAAGTGATTATAATACATGCACTTTTTCAAAACTTTATTGCATTTCATAATTTTTTCAAAACTTTATTGCATTTCATAATTTTTCTATAGTATAGACCTATCCCTAAGTAGCCACATCGTTTACTCTTGACTTGGAATCACATGCTTTCAACAGACCATGACTTGGAATCACATTATTTCACCATGATAGACTTTGGAATAATATGCTTTAGTTGTGATAATATTGCGATAAGCCTATTTTCTTTTTGTTATAAAAGCATTTGAAGCATCTCTCTACCTAATCTCCAACCAACAATGAACTTGTCAGACCAAAATAAAGAATAAAGAAAGCAAACAATGAACTTGTGAGACCAAAATAAATTTTAGTTAGTAAGCTAGAATTTTCGGTGAGAATATGTGGCACAATGAAGATGAAAATATGTTGGGGGCATTGGAATTGACTAAAAGGTATTTTTATATTTTTCACATTATTTTTTAAAATGCTTAAATTGCTTTTCATTCGCATTGAAAACCAGGCATTTTGATAATTTAAATTCGGCCGAATGTAATTACCAAATTTTTACTAGTGGTTCCCCATTGTGAAATGGGGCAATTTAGTATTTAGTTTTTTTTTGAGTAGGCACCTTATTGAATAAAGGTAATTATTTCATAAAAAGAACTATAGAAAATTAAGAACTATAGTAATTTCTATAGAAAAGAAAATAAAAATAAATAGAGCAATATCTGAAATTAAAGGATGGTATTGATAAAAAAATACATCTAAAACAAGCATCAAGAAAAACTATCAAACAAAACAATAAAAAAGGATATTCTAAAGAAAACAAAATAGTGAGCAAGCTCAAAATGAACTATCAAACAAACAATGAAAAAGAATGCTCTAAAGAATAAAAATAGCAAGCAAATTTAAAATGGGATAAACTAAACTCCAATAAAAATATATGATCGAATAATACTACTATCCATAAATGTACAAAAAGATATAATTTTTGTATCCTCTCCATTCATTTTGATGTTCTATTTTTCACGTGGCATGTCTTCTGATATTTATTGATTTTTTGGGCTTCAACAAAAAGGTGAACCTACTAATTTACCAATGTATTGAGTTTCAACCTTATTACCGCCATTCTATGAATTTCAACTTCATTATGTTCATCCATGTATAAAATATGTATTGAGTTTCAACCTTTATTATGTTTAGCCATGTATAAAACCTGATTCAGAATTTGATGTTTGTGTCATAGTCTACCCTTAATTTTAATGTTTATGTGATAGTTTATCCTTAACCTGAGTCAGAATTTGAATTTGATGTTTGTGTCATCGTCTACCCTTAATTTTAACTTCTCAGAATTTGATAATTTTCACTACACCTCATTAAAAAAAATTGACGTATAAATATATGCGATGACCTTAATGGGCCCTTGCCTCAAGATTTACCGGATAAAAGATAAATAATAATGATTTTATGGGATAAAATAAAATTTATAGGTCATATTTTGTTTTTAATGAAAATGTCAACCAGGTAAATAATAATGATTTTATGGGATAAAATAAAATTTATAGGTCATACTTTGTTTTTAATGAAAATGTCAATCTATTTACAGGTTGATAGCTATCTTATAAGAAAAATAGTGTTCCTAATTCTTCTTTGTATTTATGAATACTAGATGAGCTTGAATAACGAGGACGATATTAGATATATTTATTCATAGCAGCGCAATTACATAAATTTCCCTAAGTAATGTGGACGCTATTACATATATTTATCTATAACAACGTAATTACATAAATTTCCCTAAGTAATGTGGAGAATGTAATGTAGAGGAAAGGAAGAAGGGAAGCGAAAAATGGGGAGATAATAATTCTAATTCTCCTGTATATTTATCAATACTAGATGAGCTTGAATAACTAGGAGGCCATTGCATACATTTATCCATAGCAACACCATTACAGAAA